CGAGATGCCCCTCTCCTGGCAGATTATCTTCATGGTTCTGGGAACAAGAGCTCCAGGCTTAACATGAGCCTGGTGCTTCGCAAAAAACCCCCAAATCATATGAAATATGTGTTTTATCCCATCCTTTCCCATACAACTGCAGGGACTGAAGCTGCCTGCGCCTACCCCCAATTTATTCCTCACCGGAAGAGGTCTCGGAGGCAGTTCCAAGGGATTCTTTGGGTTGGGCGCCTGTCTCAGGCGACGAGCCACTTGTTCTGGCCCTGCTTGGAAATTAAGGTCCCAGGGAGAGGGCCTCTTCACTGCCCCATTGACCTGTCCCCCTAACGCTTGGCCTTTAGGAGGCCGCTGAACATTCGGAAGGACTTCCCGACAGTTAGAGGAGCGGTTCCTCAGGGGAACAGGCTTCCTCAGGAGGTGGTGGGCTCTCCTTCTTGGGAGGTTTTCAAGCAGAGGCTAGGTGGCCTCATCTGACAGCAATGCGGATTCCATGAACTTGGGTAGATCACGAAAGTTCTTGTGGCCCTTAGTTCTTGTGGCCCTTTTTTACACGCCCAGGGAAATGCTGATGGCCACTTTGGGGTCAGGAAGCAATTCTTCTCCGGGCCAGTTTGGCCCCCAGTGATCCTGGAGGGTTTTTGTCATCTTCTGGGCATGGAACAGGAGTCACTGGGGTTGTGGGGGGGGGGGAGTATTTGTGAACAGTGTTCCCTCTAAGCTGAGTTGGTGTGAGCTAGCTCACAGTTTTTTAGCCTCTGGCTCACACATTTTTGTCTTGGCTCAGGAAGGAGGGCTCCAGAGCAAACTAATTTATGCAGCAGCCAAATCACTTGCTCACAGCTTTAGTGCCAGTAGCTCACAAAGTAGAATTTTTGCTCACGAGACTCCACAGCTTAGAGGGAACATTGTTTGTGAATTTCCTGCATTGTGCAGGGGGTTGGACTAGATGACCCTGGAGGTCCCTTCCAACTCTATGATTCTATGCAGACAGTTAATATTCCAGGCAGCATTTGCTTCTTTTTTTTTTTGAGATTTTAATTCAGTTGTTTTAAAAAAATATTTTTATTTTTTGGTTCTGTTTGTATTGTAAACTGCCTTGAGTTCTGGGAGGGAGAAAGGCAGCTAATAAATATTTTCAACTAAAAATAAGTAAAAAAAACCATAAGGAAAGGTTTGTGGGTGGGTGGGTGGGTGGGGAGGACAACAATGTAACTTCTAAACATGAGTCGTATTATTTTGTGGTATTGTATTTATAATCCAAGGAGCTGCGGTGGCTCAAGTGGTTAAGATGCTGAACTGCAGACCGGAAGGTCGGTAGTTCGGCAGTTCGAGACCTGAGTGTGCCGCATGACGGAATGAGCTCCTGTCTCTGGCCTCTGCTCCTGCCAACCTAGCAGTTTGGAAGCAGGAAATTGCCAGTAGATAAACAGGTACTGCTTAGGTGGGAAGGAAACAGTGTTCCGTGTATCTCAGCGTCTAGTCATGCCAGCCACATGACCACGGAGAAGTCTTCGGACAGCGCTGACTCTTCGGCTTGGAAACGGAGAGGAGCACCGCGTCCCTAGAGTCGGATTTGACTGGATTTCGAGCAAGGTAAACCTTTACCCTTTACCTTTTATTTATAATCTACCTTTCTTGCTGAGACTCAAGGTGGATTACAGGTCTTAAAGCAGGGCAGACTGATGGCATCACACCACAGGGAGCCATGCAATAGGCCTAGGGCAGTTTTCATGCTGTTCAAGTCCAGTGGCTTGTTTTTGACATTGTGACGTGGTTTTAATTGCAAGTCTCCTGGAGCAGCATTCTGAAGAGGCTGCATAGAAATAGCATCATTAATAATAAGCAAACAGGATTGCAGAATGTTGGGTGTTACAAGTTGAAAACACTCAGTATGTCTGGGGTTAAATGTTTGTTTATGTTACTCACAGGAAGTCACGTGTTTCTCATGTAACCAATGTTCTTTAGCTGTAGGAAGCCCGGGAATTTTCTCCCTGATCTAGGAGTTTGATTGGGCTGAAAGTGTCAAAGTGTTTTAGCATTTTATGGCTCCTCTTCCCGTCTTTGTTTGGTGTTTCTGAAGAAGGAGAGCAGCCACAATCTCTCTCTTCTAGTTTTGTCTTTGTAGAGTAAGGATGTAGCCGATTATGCTCTGTTGTTATTTTCATCCCAGTTACCCTTCCCATGCTAGAATTTAGTAAAAACTTTATATTTTAATCACACATGGACTCCCAGTCTGAATTATTTTACTCAGGCTCTGCTGGACTATCTTATATCTGCTAAATACCATTTTTTCAATATCTCACTATCACCCAACACAGAATTAGAGGCCAAAGTGAGCGACAAACTGTTTAGGGCAAAGGTTTACTATCGCAAACCTGCTGTCACAAAATGTCAGGGTCCTTCTTCTTACAAGTCGTGATAAAACACCGGCCAAGGGGAGGATCCAGATAAGTGGCCTTAACCAAACCGTGAACCAAAGAAAGGGAATATCTAAATTTTTGTTCCAACACTGCCACCTAGAGGTGGCAGCAGGTCTTACACTTCCCCGTACAATGTAGTGTCAGCCATGCCCTTGTTTCCTCAATAAGGAGATAGGGTGTGTAAATGCTCGTGCGCTTGGTTTGGGAAGACAAAGATGAAGACAAGGAAGAAGAAGAAGAGGAGGAGGAGGAAGAGGAAGAAGAGAAAGAGGAAGAAAAAGTAGTAATAGAAATAGAAGAAGAAGAAGAAGAAGAAGAAGAAGAAGAAGAAGAAGAAGAAGAAGAAGAAGAAGAAGAAGAAGAAGAGTGACACAGGGTGTCTGTTGTGGGGAGAGGAAGGAAGGAAATTCTAAGCCGTTCTGAGACTCCAAGTGAAGGGCGGGACATAAATCCAATCTCTTATTATTATTATTCCCGAAATAATTTCCTTTCCACGTTTCTGAAGGACTCACAAAACCTCACCCTGAAATGAATCCCGCTAGTCCTTAAGGTGCCACTGCAGTTTTGTTTTATTTTGCTAGGACAAAATAACATGGCCACCCTTCTGCACAATGTACGGCGGAGGGCCATGGTGACTGGTCATGGTAACAGTGACGGAAACGCTGTGACAGCTCGGCGTGGAATCGTCCCGGCTTCAGATGGTGCCAGTGGGCTTGACAGAGGAGACGGTGATGGAGTGGACACATTGCAGGCGATGGCATTGGTGGAGACCAAATTGTCGGTGATGATGTTCTCCACCAGAGATGGCATGGCTGGGAGGGGGGCATTGCTGCACACAGCGTTGACTGTACGGAGAGGACAATGTTTCCATAGACGGATTGAGAAGGCCTGTGATTAAGGTACTGATGGAACATCTGACGGCTGCAGTTTTGGGGCAGAAGGTATCGGTTGGACATGTGGGAAATGACCACAGTGAGGAGAAGATAAGAACATCAGAAGTGCCCTGCTGGATCAGACCAGGGGTCCATCCAGTCCAGCATCCTGTCTCATGCCCTGTGGTGAACCAGTTCCTCTGGAGATCCAACAACAGGGCAGAGAGGCCGAGACCTTCCCCTGATGTTGCCTCTTGGCAACAGGATTCAGACATTGATTGCCTTTGGACATGGAGGTTCCCTTTGGTTCCCTTGGCTAGCCGCCACTGATAGACCTCTCTCCTCCATGAGGCTGATGTCAGAGGCAACGTGGCCAAAGCAGACGACTGTCCAGGGGAAAGGCAGGGCTCCCCACTATGAGACTCACAAGAGCAACGTCCGGTCTTTGGAAGGAGGCACGGCAAGATGCCAAGGGTGTATCTTTGCTCATCCATCAGCATCTCGCCAAGCTGTCTTTCCTCTCAGTGATGGGCACAGCCCTCTTGTTTTCTTGCTCAGACTCGGGAAGGGCAACATCAACTCAGACTTCAGAGCTTTGCGTCTCGATTGTGCTTGCCCTGAACTTCTTTTCGGGCTCCTATCTAGCCGTTCTACCATGGACCAACATGGCTGCCGTCTGAAACTACCAGTATGCGTGTGGGGACTATGTGTGGTTTAGGAGAGGGGACGCTATGAAACCAGAGCTATAACGTTATTTTGGGAGGCGATGGTAATTCTTGGGCAGATTTAGCTATGGACCAATGCTCCCTTTAAGCTGTGGAGCCTTGTGAGCAAAAATTCTACTTTGTGAGCTGCCGGCATTAAAGTTGCGAGTGAGCGATTTGGCTCCTGCACAAATTAGTTTGCTCCGGAGCCTTCCTCCCTGAGCTAGGGCAAAAATGTGTGAGCCGGAGGCTAAACAACTGTGAGCCAGCTCGTACTAACTCAGCTTAGAGGGAAACATTGCGAGTCTGGAGCCCTCCTTCCTGAGCGAAGACAAAAATCTGTGAGCCGGAGGCTAAAAAACTGTGAGCTAGCTCACAGTAACTCAGCTTAGAGGGAACATTGCTCTGGAGCCCTCCTTCCTGAACGAAGACAAAAATCTGTGAGCCGGAGGCTAAACAACTGTGAGCCAGCTCACACTAACTCAGCTTAGAGGGAAACACTGCGAGTACAGACAGAAATCTGCTTCTGAGCACTCCAGTGTCCGTCTCCCGATGTTTCCCAACATTCCTTTTACACAAATGCTGCTAGATTTGAAGGGCAAAAAATCCACCAAGGTCTCCAACTTAATTTGGTAAGAGGGCACCCAGAGCCATTGTCTCAAGTGTGTGAAGATGTCCGGGGGGAGGGGACAATTGGTCACACTACTGGTGAGCTCAGGCACATTTCTGCCCCTGGGAGAGGGGGTCTGGCGAAAGGGGGGGATCGTATGCAATGTTCCCTCTAAGCTGTGGAGTCTTGTGAGCAAAAATTCTACTTTGTGAGCTACTGGCATTAGAGTTGTGAGCGAGTGATTCGGCTACTGCATAAATCAGTTTGCTCTGGAGCCCTCCTTCCTGAGCTGAGACAAAAGTCTGTGAGCCACCGGCTAAAAAACTGTGAGCTAGCTCACACTCACTCAGCTTAGAGGGAACACTGAGTATGCTAAAAGAGGAACACTGTGGGAGACGGTGGGCAAGAGGAGATGCAGGATGGGAAGAGCTCTTTAGCTGTCTGCCAAGGTGAGCTTCCAAAAATGAAATCTGATCATGGCTGAAATCTGGGGGAACCGGAACCACAGGGCTACGGAGCCCTTGGAAAACCCGATTAAGTTGGTGCTTCTGGCTCTCCCCTCCCTTATCTAAGGAAGCTCCAGATGCCCGGTGAGGTCCTGGGCTGAGCTGTAGCAGCTGTCCCTGGAGACTGACTTCTGCAGTTCAGAAGAAGCTGGTGTTGCTTTGGCTGGACGGGGTTTCCTTGGGGGGGATTCTGCTCTTCGCTTGTAGCCTCAGATAGCCGGAACAGAATCATCTGCAAAGAGGAATTCCAGGATCTTGTTCGTTCAGCTGCGGAAAGACCAAAGACGCTCAATCAGGTGGAGAAACAGAAGGAGCCACGGAGCATCTTCCATGGCTGAACCCCACAGACCCTCTATTGAACCACTATGGCTCCAGATGTGTCATTCCCGCTCATGTGCCATGACCGCAGTATTCCCTCTAAGCTGAGTGAGTGTGAGCTAGCTCACAGTTTTTTAGCCTCCGGCTCACACATTTTTGTCTCAGCTCGGGAAGGGGGGCTCCGGAGCAAACTAATTTACACAGCAGCCAAATGGCTCGCTCACAGCTTTAATGCCAGTCGCTCACAGAGTAGAATTTTTGCTCACAAGACTATACAGCTTAGAGGGAGCATTGGCCATGAGGTCATTTAAAGCTCCACAGAGCCCCCAGGAACCATGCATAGGGCTTGCTGCCTGCTGCCTCACTGCATGATTCATTGTTCTGACTTCCCAGTTACCCTTTACTGAGGCTAGACAAAAATATGTAAACTCATGCAATGGACAACCTGTTCCTCTGGATGGCAAACAACAGGGTAGAGGCTGAGGCCTCCTTCCCCTGAGAAGAACATCAAAAGAGCCCTGCTGGATCAGACCAGTGAGGGTCCATCTAGTCCAGCATCCTCTCTCACACCATGACCAACCAGTTCCTCTGGACAGCCAACAACAGGGTAGAGGCCGAGGCCTTCCCCTTGATAAGAACGTAAGAAGAACTCTGCTGGATCAGACCAGTGAGGGTCCATCTAGTCCAGCCTCCCGTCTCCTGCAGTGGCCAACCAGTTCCTCTGGAGGGCCAGCAAACAGCTCATGCTGGTTTTAAAGCTAGACAAAAATATGTAAACTCTCTTTGACCAGCGTGAACCTGGGGTGAGTGCTTGGGGCCTGGACCACCACCCTCTAAAGATGGAAGGCCTGATCACTTACGTCATGACGTCACCAGCTGTAGGCATAACATTCCCTGAGCTCTGCAGTTTCCAGCTACTGTCACAAGTGTTTTAACTTGCAGTTTCTCGTGTACCCATCAAGATATTCTCTTGATTCTTTCACTGCAGTATTCCAGACACTTCACACTAGCTTACAGTGTTACTGAGTTCAGTTTCCCTTGCATATTTGAGTGCATGTTTCGTATAATTTACAAGCATATAATAGGGGAAAGGGGTGGATGTCTGTTGTATGATGGTATTGTCAAATAACTTCTGGTTTTCAGTATTACTTTTTATTTACCACTGACACAGCAGGAGATAGAAATATGCACAAACTCATACTTATTTAAGAAGTTTTCACACACAGTAAACTTCAATCTTAATCTCCAGTGACCCCAAAAAAAAAAGCTACACAGGATATTGGTGTATATTCACAAACGTTCAAGGGAACCAACAGATGTAAGTACAACAACAATCAATCTTCCTATGGAACTTCTTTTGAGTAAATTAGAGGAAAATATAGAAACTACACATTGTGGCCTTCAATGAATCTAAATCTCCCCAGTTGTCATTTCAACTCACGTTGTTGCAGTTCAGGGGCAAATATATGTGAAAGGCAACCACATCACTTCTGTAAAGTTTTCAGTTTCCTCTGTGATGTTTGTGACAGTCTTTGCCCATTTTCTCTTTTACAATAGTTGTTTAGGAATGCATTGACTGCTACCAACTGTTAATATGTACAAACTCATACTTAGGTAAGACATTTTCACATTTAGCATTGCTAAACAACCAGTGAGACAGCTGGATCTATAGCCTGATTGTTTTAACAACTCTTAAATGAATATTAGGTCTGCTTTGGTACTGAGGCTGTAATCCTAAATCTCCTTCCTAGGGGTAAGCCTCATCAAATAACATGGGATTTACTTCTGAGTGGACCTGTTTAGGATTGCTTCCTTGTTACCAAAGAGCTAAGAGTGATGGGTGGCCCTCCTGTGCAGATCAAAAATCCACAATAAGAAGCCACCAAGAGCTAGGACAGTGGTTCTCATGCCATGGGTCAAGTTTTAACTAAAAGTGGGTTGGGACCCTCTAACAGATGGGTTGCAAATTCACAAGGGGCAGGTGGAACACAGAGTTTTTCCTGTATAACTGCTTCTCCTAGTCAAACTGGAAAGTTTAACCACGGCACAAGAAAAAGCATTTTCTTCACATAATCCATGAAATAAATTTTTAACTGCTAGAGAGAGAGAGAGAGAGAGAGAGAGAGAGAGAGAACACATACATAAAACTATTTCCATAGCGTCTCTCTATTGCAAAGATGGGGGGGAAGGGGGAGGAAGGGAAGCTTCGGGGAATCGACTCACCTCTTTCTTCTGTTAAAATACACTGTGTAAAAAAACCCAAAAAACCTCCAACAACAACCCCAGGCCACTGTGGGAAAAACAAAACAAAAAAACAAACCCCAAAACCAACTCCAGAAATCCTCCCTCGTTTTTGTGATGAGAAAACCAGTCAGGGAGAAAGAAAGAGATGGTCGTTTTCAGCAAAAAGGCATATTTAATCCAGATCTGAAGGACAGAAACTGTTGGGATTCTTAGCAGACAAAACCTCTACATCCACATGGCCGAATGGCTTCTCTGAAATGGGAGAATGGCTTCTCCCACCACCCCTTTTCTCAGTCAGAACAGAGACAAAGAGGGGGAAGATGGGCCATTAAAATGCAAAAAAAGGCTCTCACCTACAGCCAACAGTTATCTCCTGTAACTGAAGTCTTCAGCAGTCAGTCAACTAAATTCAAACTACTGCGAAATTCTCCTATTAATCAGCTATATTCAACAAAACATTCTTACACTCTTAACTGTAAACTCTCTAACTCTGCAAAATTCAACAACACGTTTAAAGGAACACAACCATTTACCTGAAATCATTACACAAAACAGCAGCCCTCTGCTTAGCCCCACATAAGCACAGGGAGATTGTTATGACTAATCTCCTCGCCATTGTGGTGACGTCACAGCCTGGTTGTATGGCCTTCTATTCAGGGGGCAGTGCCTGGACATGGATCCCGCTCCCAAACTGGCCTTAGCTCTCTGTAAAAACCCACTGCCCGTCTGCAATGTCCCTGGTTCTCCACCAGCCATCTTTCCCGTTTGTCACTCGGGCAAAGATTCTGGCCGCACCACCTCACCGCCTGGGCTTCCGCTTCTTTCTTCTCCATCTCCACCAGTTCCGTTTTTGGGGTCCCCCAAAGCTTCCACTTCTTCCGCTGCTCATTGATCCTGGAAAAAGAGGGCAGCCGTTGGCAGACTTCCCTGGCGCGTTGGCTCCCTGCCCCGTAGATGGAAGCCCTGCAGTCTATGATTTGCTCTCAGTGCTTCGTGCTGATCATCTGCTCAGTTGTGGAGCTGGGGTTGACAACCTCCAGGTGGGGCCTTGAGAATCCCCCAGAAGTACAACTGATCTCTGGACAGCAGGGATCAGTTTCCCCTGGAGAAAATGGCGGCTTTGGAGGGAAGAATAAGAAGAGGAGAAGAGATTGGATTTATCCCCCGCCCTTTACTACCCAAAGGTGTCTCAGAGCGGCTTACAAACTCCTTTCCCTTCCCTTCCTCACAACAGACAACCTGTGAGGGGAGCGGTGGCACAGAGGATTTATCCTCTGGTTTAACATCTGAGCTGAACAGGACTGCTGTAAGTTCGAGCCCCACACTGGTGTGAGCTACGAGTCTCTGTCCCCAGCTCGCCATCTGCCCAGTGGTTCGAAAGCTTCGGCAAGTAGATAAAATGGGTACCACTCCTTAGAGAGAATGGGCACACTGAACCCCCCCCCCCTCGTGGGGTGGAGCGGTGTTAGCCGGCGAACGGAAGTCCACCGCTGCGAGGACAGATCTGCACGTCCCCCCCCCCAATAGCTAGCAATCCAAAAGAGTCCAGTGGAGCCTGAGCAGTGGGTGTTGCCTTCTGACACACTTCCGGTGATGTCAGGGGGTGTGGCATATGCAAATGAGTTATGCTAATTAGTTATGCCAATGAGCTCTCGCACCTCTTTTTCTACAAAATGACCCCTGGATACAATCTTATAGGTTTGCATTTCAATTGCTGGTGAATTGTCAGCCCCTCTGGGAACACTGTACCTGGCTTGCAGAACATTCCCGTAAAAGCCATGAAGGGAACGAGGAGGGGCTTGCGCTCCCCTCCACAAAGAGAGCTCTCTCTAAGCTCGACCCTTGGAGGGTGGGGTTGCCAACTATGGGTTGGGAAATTCCTGTACATCGGGGGGGGGGGTGAAACCTGGAGAGGGAAAGGGTGTGGGGAGGGGAGGGACCTCACTGGAGTCCACCTTCCAAAGCAGCCATTTTCTCCGGAGGAACTGATTTCTGTCATCTGGAGATCAGTTGTAATTCCAGGAAATCTCCAGATCCAAACTGGAGGCTGAAGCAACCCGAGCTGCAGTGTTAGGAGAATCTAGCAACAAATAAATATACACTGCAAAAACCTTTTAGCAAACTAATGTGTTCTATTTATGGTCATAATTTAGTAAAGTGCATAGTGTATCATTATTCCATCCTAGTCAGGTATAAATATTCATTACATTCAATAAGCAATAACATTCAGTACATACAGATGGCTAACTACCAGACAATTTTTGCATCAGTGTTTTAAAAGTCAAGCCCCAACGGGAGTTTCTAGAATTAAAAGCCTGCTTCTCCTTGCATGAAGACTTCCAAAAAGGGGGACAGCTTTCTTAATAGTTGTATGGATGTTTTTTTTTTTTTTTTCCCGTCTTACAAAAGACACATGTTGCAGCTAACATTCATGGACGGAGTACTCCTGTCATTCTCAAAGCGGGCTTTTAATTTAATGGTGCTTGGGGGGGGCAACAGTGGGAGGGCTTCTAATGTCCTGGCCCCACTGCTGGACCTCCTGATGGCACTTGGCATTTTTGGCCACTGTGTGACACAGAGTGTTGGACTGGATGGGCCTTTGGCATCTCTTATGTTCTTATGTTCTTAGAGACTCCCGTTGGGGCTTGACTTTTAAAACACTGATGCAAAATTGTCTGGTAGTTATCAATCTGTATGTACTGAATGCTATTGCTTATTGAATGTAATGAATATTTATACCAAACTGGAGGCTGGCAGCCCTATTGGAGGGGAGACTTCAAAGTTCTGGAGAGGAGCCTTTATCCATGACATCTTCACTTCAAGCTGCCCACTGGGTGTCCCCTAAACTGGGCTTTTCAAATTTTGCTGTTATGTACGAACGGTGGCTCAAGTGGTTAAGACGCTGAGCTGCAGACCAGAAGGTCAGTAGTTCGGCAGTTCGAGACCCGAGTGCTGCGTGACGGAGTGAGCTCCCATCTCTGGCCCCGGCTCCTGCCAACCTAGCAGTTCGAAAGAAAGAAATTGCCAGTAGATAAAAAGGGACCGCTTCGGTGGGAAGGTGACAGCGTTCCGTGCGCCTCGTCGTCTAGTCATGCTGGCCACATGACCATGGAAACATCTTCGGACGGCGCTGGCTCTTCGGCTTGGAAACGGAGATGAGCACTGTTCCCTAGGGTCAAATTCGACTGGCTTTTGAGCGAGGGTAACCTTAACCTTTATTTGTATTCTATATATTTTATTTATATTGTAGGCTGCCTTGAGTTCTGTAAACAGCAAAGGTGGCTAACAAAGGTTTTCAATAACCAAAGACATTAAAACAAACCATTTGGCTCCCTGCCAGCCCCTCTAACCATCCGCTGAAGTAACGCCAGAACATACCTGCTCCAGTTTGTTCGGACTCCAAAGGCCATGGCGCAAAGCACAGCTGTGCAAGCCATGCCAATGAAGACCCCTGCCAGGACTTTGAAGAAGTGGAGGTCCGAGAGAGCTGCAAGCAAAGAGAATTAATTAATTAATTGTTGTATGGCCTTGTGTGTACATAAGAACATAAGAGACGCCAATGTTGGATCAGGCCAAAGGCCCATCCAGTCCAACACTCTGTGTCACACAGTGGCCAGAAATACCAGGTGCCGTCAGGAGGTCCACCAGTGGGGCCAGGACACTAGAAGCCCTCCCACTGTTGCCCCCCCAAGCACCAAGACTACAGAGCACCCCTTTCCCCACCCTCAGAGTTCCCATCTATTGTTGTTGTTCAGTCGCACAGTCGAGTCCAACTCTTCGCGACCCCATGGACCAGGTCACGCCAGGTCTTCCGGTCTTCCGCCGTCCTCTGAAGTTTGCTCAACTTCATGTTCGTTGCATCAATCACACTGTCTAACCATCTCATCCTTTGCCGTCCCCATCTTCTTAGACCTTCAATCTTTCCCAGCATCAGGGTCTTCTCCAGTGAGTGCTCCTTTCTCATTTGGTGGCCAAAGTATTTGAGCTTCAGTTTCATTATCTGGCCTTCCAGGGAACAGTCAGGGTTAGTTTCTTTTAGGATTGACTGATTCGATCTCCTCGCGGTCCAAGGGACTCTCAAGAGTCTTCTCCAGCACCATAGTTCAAAAGCATCTATTCTTCGGCGCTCGGCCTTCCTTATACCTTGTGGCTAATAGCCATTGATGGACTTCTGCTCCATATGCTTATCTAATTCCTTCTTGAAGCTGTCCATGCTTCAAGTATGGCCAGGAGATCCTAAGACTGTCTGGCAGTCTGAAGTTGTAGGTCTTTAGCATTATGCACAACTAGGTTGTGAGCTAGACGTATTGGGGGGGGGGAGTGAGAGAGCTCTGAAAGAGCTGTGACGGTCCCAAGGTCAGAGAGGGAGGGAGGGGGGAAGAGAGAGAGAGAGAGAGGGAGAATTCCTTGCAGGGGTTAAACTGGCAGTGGCTTTTCAGGGTCTCGGGTAGAGGTCTTAGGCATCCCCCTGCTACCTGGCCCTTTAAATGAGAGGAAGTGTGGTGTAGTGGTTAGAAGGTTGGATAAGTATGTGGGAGACCCAGGTTCGAATCCCCTCTCTGCCAGGGAAACCTGATGCCTGTTCTTGGGCCACACACACTCTCTCAGCCTAACCTATAAAAAGGAGGATAAAAACGGACAAGGGGAGAATGCTGTTTTAAGCAGATTTGGGTCCCCGGCTGGGGAGTAAAGCGGGGAATCAATTCAAGGCCTGACTAAAAACACCCAAATCAATGGAGAGGGCGGGGATTTCACCTCCGCCACTAGAGGGAGTCGTGCACCTCGTTTCAGGAGACCCGGATCCAGTTTGGGCTGATATTTAGAAACTCACCCGAAGAACTGGCAGTGAAGACGGGCCAGTCTGGAAGTCTTAAGTGCAACATGGTGCAGCGATAGCCAGGGCACCCTGCGCCAAACACAGGATTGCGTCTGAAAGGTGGGAAGCCCTGTGGAGACGATGCCAGGCGTCCAAGTAGGGTGGCCAGTTCCTGGTTGGAAAACACTTGTAGTTTTTTGGGGGGTGGAGCCTGAAGAGGGTGGGGTTTGGGGAGGGGAGGGGCCTCAGCAGGGTGCGCCGCCAGAGAGTCCACCCTCCAAAGCAGCCACTTTCTCCAGGGGAACCGATCTCTGTCGCCTGGAGTAAAAGTAAAGGTAAAGGTTTCCCTTGCTCGAAAGCCAGTCGAATCCGACTCTAGGGTTGCGGTGCTCATCTCCATTTCAAAGCCGAAGAGCCAGCGCTGTCCGAAGACGTTTCCGTGGTCATGTGGCCAGCATGACTAAACACCAAGGCACACGGAACGCTGTTACCTTCCCACCAAAGTGGTACCTATTTATCTACTTGCCATTTCTTGCTTTCGAACGGCTAGGTTGGCAGGAGCTGGAACAGCCTGCAGCTCAGCGTCTTAACCACTTGAGCCACCGCAGCTCGCCTGGAGATCAGATGGAAAAACGGGTGATCTCCAGTCACCCCCTGGAGGTTGTGCAAACAAATAATCAGAATGCTCTTGTCACGCTGGACAAATCACACTTGAGACGACTGTCTTCTTCTACAGCTCTACTTACAACCATAAATGATACATGTAACAAATGCTTTTGCCACCGTGCATAAAGGACGTCTGCACCAATTGAATAGTGTCCTAATAGTTCTTGAAAGTACAAGTCTCTCTTCCTTCAAAGTACAAGTCTTTCTTCAGACACTGACTGCAGCCATGAAATTAAAAGACGCCTGCTCCTGGGGAGGAAAGCGATGGCAAGCCTAGACAGCATAATAAAAAGTAGAGACATCACCCTGCCAACCAAAGTCCGCATGGTCAAAGCAATGGTATTCCCAGTAGCCATGTATGGCTGCAAGAGTTGGACTATAAGGAAGGCCGAGCGCCGAAGAATAGATTCTTTTGAACTATGGTACTGGAGAAGACTCTTGAGAGTCCCTTGGACTGCAAGGAGATCAAATCAGTCAATCCTAAAAGAAATCAACCCTGACTGTTCCCTGGAAGGCCAGATAATGAAACTGAAGCGCAAATACTTTGGCCACCCAATGAGAAGGGAGGGAGCCCTCACTGGAGAAGAAGACCCTGATGCTGGGAAAGACTGAAGGTCACGAAGACTGGGACGGCAAAGGATGAGATGGTCAGACAGTGTTATCGAGGCAACGAACATGAAATTGAGCACGATGGAGGACAGGAGGGCCTGGCGTGATGCGGTCCGTGGGGTCGCGAAGAGCCGGACTCGACTGTGCGACTGAACAACAACTTTCTTCAGAATGATGTGGTCACCGAAGAAAGACTTGTTCTTTGAAGGAAGAGAGACTTGTGCTTTCAAGGACTGTTCAACTGGTGCAGATGTCCTTCATGCACGGTGGCCAAAACCATTTGTCATGTGCACCATTTACGGCTGTCAGTAGACGTGTATAAGAAGACAGTAGTCTCAGGTGTGATTCGTCCAGCGTGACACAGTATCCTGGTCATTTGTTTGTACAAATGTATTCACTGTACTTCTAGTTTTGTGTGGCTGACTACCACAGGAAGTGGTGGCGCCTACAAGCATGGACAGCTTCAAAAGGGAATTAGATAAGCATATGGAGCAGAGGTCCATCAGTGGCTATTAGCCACAAGGTATAGATAGGGGCTCTGGGGCGATTGATGCTCTGTCTTCTTGGTGCTTGGGGGGGGGCAACAGTGGGAGGGCTTCTAGTGTCCTGGCCCCACTGGTGGACCTCCTGATGGCACCTGGTATTTTTGGCCACTGTGTGACACAGAGTGTTGGACTGGATGGGCCTTTGGCCTGATCCAACATTGGCTTCTCTTATGTTCTTATGTACCTGGAAAATGGCAACCCTACATCCCAGCAGCAGACTGCATCCTGGGGAAGGGGCGGGGAGGAATCAGTGGGTGGAGGGGGTTGCTGAAGGGCCAAACAAGATGGCGAGGGAGGGGCTGGTCAGCAAGTCCACGGGAGGAACCAGGAGCTTTGCCAGAAGAACCGGGACTGGGCCAGGATCCATGGGCAGTTCCAGAGCTCATAGGCAATGGCCACGATCCGGGGGAAAGCATCCCAGGAAAGCCCCCTCGGAAGCGAATCCCCCCTGCCCTGGAACCCTTTCTGTTCTGTGCCGCCATCAGTCTCGGGAGTTCAACCCACTCTCTGCGCTGAAATCCAAGGCAGCGGTCCCATTGCCCAAGGGGTTGCTGGCCAGGCAGACGTAGCGCCCCGAATCTTCTGCCACCAGGTCCCGAATCTCCACCCGGAGGCTGTTGTAGGACTGCAGGGCTCTGAACCGCCGAGCGGCTGCGGGGCGGGTCCCCTGGGTGTGAGCCAGGATGCAGCCCCCTTTGTAGAGGGCCAGCTCGGACGGTGGGTGGCTGTCGACTTGGCAGCGGATGACCCCGACTCGCCCGCTCTGGTTGTCCAGGAAGGCGCTTAGGGTGGGAGTCCGAGGGGAATCTGTACGGAGAAGAAGAGCCAGACAGGGTGAGTCCCAGCCGGTGTTCCCTCTAAGCTGAGTCAGTGTGAGCTTCCTAGCCTCTGGCTCACACGTTTTTGCCTTGGCTCAGGGAGGAGGGCTCCAGAGCAAACTAATTTATGCAGCAGCCAAAGCCCCCGCTCACCACTTTAATGCCAGCAGCTCACAAAGTAGAATCTTTGCTCACAAGACTTCACGGATTAGAGGGAGCCTCGCCCCAGTCCACCCCCCAAGACGATCTACTCCCCTTGCAAACTCACGAGCAAGGCACGAAAGCCTCAGCCCCAACATCTGCCTCTGACCAGGGAGGCTCCATTGAGCTATGTGTGTGTGTAACGTTGGCCTGAGAGAGCTCTTTCAAGAGCTGCTCTTGAGACAACAGCTCTGAGACAACTTGTGACTGACCCAAGGTCGCTCAGCTGGCTGCATGTGGAGGAGTGTGGAGTCAAACCCAGTTCTCCCAGATTAGAGTCCGCGCTCTTAACCACTACACCAAACTGGCTCTCCAGAGTTATAAGAGTTATATAAGAGAATAGACTGGGCCTGTATCCGATTAAGGCTACCGGGGCCTGACAAATACAAGTACAGAGACTACAATATCATTGATGGGATCCTGTTTTGGCCCCCTTTGCTTTGCAAGCCCAGCGGCCAATTGCAGAACCTTCCCAAGTGTACACCAAGCTCCCCGGGACACTCACAAAGCACGTTCAAGAGGACCAGGCCAGAAGTCACGCTTCCCGTCTCCCCCTCTGCCCGACAGTGGTATGAGCCAGCGTCATCTCTGGCAACGCTCTCCAGAAGCAGGGAGCAGCTGGGCCCGTCCTGGAGCCACTGGCTGTTCTTGTACCAGGTGTAGTTCATTTCTCCAGCAGCCCGACTGGCAACCACACAGGTCAAGTTGGCCGCATACCCTTCCTGGATGTCTGGCGAAGGCTCAATCGTGATTCTCGCACCTGGAGAGAGGAAGAGGCATGGAGAGACCAAGGAGGATCCCCACATAGCAAAACCTGGGCAGCTGTATGGGGGCTGTAGCCCAGTGGATGGGCACCTGGCTAGCTCCCTGATGGTCCTGACTTCAATCCCCAGCAGACTGTTGGAGTTTTCAAGTTGCTACACTTCAGTCATTACAGAGTTAAGTGTTGTTTGTCAGGAAACAGGATGTTGTGTTACATAACGTATTCTACGCAGGAAAGTTTGAGGGAGTTGCTTATTCTAATGAGGTGACCTGTAGCCTTTTGTATTGGTCAACTAACAACTTGTTTGTGGAAATGCTTTGATCTAGCATTAATGTATTCACAAGGTTTATGGCCCTTTGTGTGAAGCACACAGGAAGCTCCTCTCTTGAAGCTGGTAGTTAGATAGAAAGATGTAGCCGTTAGCAAGTAGTACTGAAAGTAACTGTAAGCATGTAATCTTGTGTTTTATTTCTTTTTATCCAAAGTACCCTACCCATGATTTGTTTTGTAGTAAAGATATTTTTCCTTTAACTAATGTGACTCTTGTGTTTACAAAACGACCATCGATCTCAAATCTCAGAATCCCTAACACAGACCCATTGCCAGGATTTTGTGGCTTGTGGGGCAATTTTTTTCCTGGTGGGGCTGAAGTTCCCAGTGCAGAAAGGAAAGCCATTTAGCCAATAGAAAGCTGTGACCAGGACAGAGCTCTAAATTGCAAGCTGTCAGATGACAGTTCTCAGCCGCTGCAAGTTAATCACTTCTGCCAGCCTAAGCAACAATCCTGATAACAAGCCGGCAGGTGGGGGTGATGACTTCTATAGTCAAGAAGAAGAGGAGGAGGAGGAGGAGGAGGAGGAGG